TCCATATGTCCGCTTTTCGTCTGTTATATATATTGAATTTGTCTTACAGTATTGATGCTTTGTTTTTGCGTTGATGTTTTGGCGCTTTTAGCACGGGAAATGTGGTAACATTTAGTTTTGTGTGTGGAACACACTATGGTAATGGGAAGTCATTATTATTTGTACTGTAAAACCTTGATATGATGCCCCTCGTCAAGTCAGATATTAATATGGTGCCTCTGGCTTACATACTGTAAAATATTGATGTAATACATCAAGCCTATATACATCAATATTATCAATACTATATTGAATTAAAACACATTTTACTGTGAATAAATGTTGATGCTTCAGATATTAAGGAATAGGGTTGTCACTCTCTATACAGCTCATGACCTTGTAGCGACTATAAACTTAGAATTATATCAATATGAAGAATTACTTTCAGTAATGTTGCTCTTCACCTGTCTGGATGTATTTCCTTTACATTAGTTTTGATAATTTGAGTCATTTTTGTGCCGGTGTGTATAAAATTGATTTACTTATTGTAATATTTTCTCGGCTACCATACGACGAAAGGCTCGTCAATGGATGTTAAAGCCCAATAAATTGATTGCAATCTTGTCCTCTCACGTCCTTTAATTAACATCCTGTGATATAAGACAAATCATATTAATGCATGTTATAACCAATACCACATCGTGGCTTACTTAGACTAACATAAAAAAAAAACCAAATGATATATATAAAACATAATTCAAAAGACTTCGACACATTCAATCAAACTAAAGTGATTATAATATTGTGATATCACACGTATGTCGATACTGATTAATGATCGTAGCACTGACTGTCTCAACACGTGTGTCAACTACAAATTCGATACATTCGTAACTTACAGTCTCGACACATGTGTCACTATTTCAACGCGTGTGTATGTTTTATTTCAGGGCCTTCTGCCCCTGATAACGTAGAAATTTCAAACCGGACAAATGTTTATGTGACGTTGACCGTTACCCCTTGTGACAATGGATATGACGGATTCCTAGTCCTATGCAACAACCTTTACCATTCCTTTGAAAACATTAAGGCAGATGATGACACCAGTGATTCCTATAAATGACTATGACTAATAAACTGACACCGGGGACACCCTTCACCTTTAAAGTCTACACACTGTACAATAAATCGACCAGTACAAACCACACCGGACACAAAGGGAGCACGGGTAACTGAACGTTGTCATATTGATGTTTTAATATAACTAAAAACCTATTGACGAGCTAACGTCAGCACCACATGACCAACATTTCGTCATTTCTTGTGCATCGTTATCATATTGTTTCCATAAGTTAGACTTTGTGTTTAAGGGAGCAATGACTGTAAATAAGAAACCTGTCCAAGAAGTCCCGGGAACGCTTTGGAGAGAATAAGCTTTTTAAAACAGTGTGCAAGCATTACTAGTATTGTTATTGGCTGTTTTTGTTAATGTATCTAGTTTTAGTTTAAAGAGATATGCTAGGTGGCGTCTTTTGAACATTTGAGTTAACCTTTCATTGCCATTGAGCATAGTTACAAAATTGTTCCTTTATTGGTTGCTATACATAACCATTGTTGTTTGATGCAACATTATATAATTACAACCTCAAACTAAAACCCTTATTTCAAATAAATATACTTTACGATGTTCCGTTTACGCTTCTATTTCTAAGAGCTTTACTTATTGATTTAATGTTTTTAGTCACCCCTGGGGGAACCCTAGCGGGGACTATCAATTTCGGTTTCAGTCCTAGATTTTGACATCTGTTGCCGAACACAGTGAAGGGCTTTCATGTGTTTGCTTCTGTCGCTAATTACAAGCACTTGGATAGCTCAGATATCGATTTCCTTTATAGATCTAACAAACAATCTAACAGCGTTCCGAATTTCAAACTGAAGATGTTCTGAATATGAATCAGGCACCTTTGAGGTTCCCGAATGGGTAGACTGTTATATTGTATATTGCTATTGATTGATATTTTATGTCTGACCAACGACTATATTGGTAAAATTTCTTTTTAAACCAATAGAAATGTTGTAATAAGATGTTCAGGTAGAAAAGCTCAATAACGTCTCTTTTTTCTTTATCATTTCACGTCAAGGCTCGCGCTTGTGGTCGCCACTGGCTCCAATGGCGAAAGTAAAACACGATTGGCGATTTGAAACTACTCTTGACGAAAATGTCGATCAGGGGCTTTTATTTAAGTTATGTCGACAATAGAATTTTATTTAGCGATAAATATTTCTAGAGCAATTTTTACAGGGGAATTAAGCCCCACGACATCACTGTGTACTACGATGTCACGACTGAATCCATTTTCGTTGAATGGCAAGATCAGGTATCGGAACTCTTTTGTGTTTTGACAAAATGGTCACCTGTCAACATAACGACTCCGTCTGATATCAAAATCGCCAATTATCAAATTATGGCTGCATTGTCTAGGTCCGAGGGGTGCTCTGTGGAGAATAATAGGGTAAGTTAGGGTCGGAAAAAGGGTTGTTTTAATTGGAATGGAGTGGATAACTCTTGTGAAGCGATGCGAGGCAATAACGAGATGCGGGTGTGTTTTTACATTGGACGCAGCTAAGATATTTTTAACGACTTTCTTTTGTAGTTGCCAGGGCACTTAAAATGGCATATATAATTTTAATTGTGTCATTTTTGCACTCTGATCACGACGACAATTTGCCGATAATTATATATGTGCCACCGATTTTTTTTTCTTGTATGTGAATGTATTAACATTTTTACTAACAAATTACGTTTACTGAGAATCATCAACTGAAAATATGGAGTAACCACCAATACAATACCAGTACAAACGTGTGATAGGAATGGGAAAATCCAAAACTTTTAGCCTTTAGTACAACAGTACACCGTACCAAAGTGTACCAGTCTCTACAGGTAAGTTACACGTGTATCAGGACCTGACCAGTACACCGTATCAAAGTGTATCAATCTCTACAGGTAAGTTACACGTGTATCAAGACCTGACCAGTACACCGTGCCAAAGTGTACCAGCCTCTACAGGTACGTTACACGTGTATTAGGACCTGACCAGTACACCGTATGAAGGTGTACTAGCCTCTACAGGTAAGTTGCACGTGTATCATGACCTAACCAGTCCCCCGTATAAAGGTGTCCCAGCCTCTACAGGTACGTTACACGTGTATTAGGACCTGACCAGTCCACCGTATGAAGGTGTACTATCCTCTACAGGTAAGTTGCACGTGTATCATGACCTAACCAGTACCCCGTATCAAGGTGTACCAGCCTCTACAGGTAAGTCACACGTGTATCAGGACCTGACCAGTACACCGTATAAATTAAAGTTTTAATATCAACTTACTAGGGCTGAATGATGAACATTTTATGATGGACATACTTCCTGATCTAAAACAAATGATGGTTGATATGGAACTAAAAATACAGGATTAGTCTCTATTAAGTGTTCAATATACACGTACGTGTACTGCTGTTCTACTCTTGACATTATTGAGATTCGTTTGTAATGGATAAATATAGTACATCTTATGTAAATGAAATATTAAAATCTTGTGTTTCTACTTATCTATGTGAGAGTGCTTCTAAGTGTTTATATAAGGGGCAAATACTCATAGTTGCTAACAATTTAACTACATGTGAAACTTGAAGTGTTGTAGCAAATGAACTGTGCTGTTTCGTCTTTAATTATCTACATCTAAATATGTTCTAAAATTGTGTATTAATTAATGCAATATTTGTAATCTCTTTAACGAGAAAAAAAGAAATCTATCTATCTACCAATCTCAACATGTAAGATACACGTGTATCAAGACTAATTAGTTTATATCAAGGTTTAACAACCTTTATAGGGAGATTATATTTCCTTCATTTACTATACCCGATTGTAATGAATTTTTAATGATTTACTTACCAGAATCAGAATCATGTTTTCGTTATGTCTCCTTCTTTCCATAACAAGTTGAATGAGAGCAGTTTATGTTGATGATGAATTGCCTTTCAAATAAATTTGAGATTGTTTCAAATACCCTACCAGTGTGTGTCCCCTAGAAGGGAGGGAGTTCTCTGTCAACACACTATGTACACTGTAAAATAATTATTGACTCTCACTCACCAATTCATTCATTCGTCTGTTTATATTTATTTTCAACTTTCATTCCAGCGATTCTTCCATTCATAATAATATCGCAATATACACACACAATAATACTGTATTACAATATTTTTAACTGTTATATATATATTTGTTTTCTAAAATACAAACCTNAATCATGGAAAACCTGCGGCCTGATTTAAATATCAATGTTAAGTGAATTATAACTATGTTTTAATAAATATGCATTATATATATAATTATATAGTTATATAAATAACTATGTTTTCCTTCGCAAGGACTTATTTATTTATTATCTACTATATATATATATAAATGAATATGTCTGAAAGGAGTAGATGCGTCAAAACACAGAATACGTTACATCTAATTAACAAGATTAGACAAAGCATTAATTTTTAATTGGCTACATACACAATGTATTGGGACTTTTTCAAGAGATACATTGTCTCCTGAAATGTCATGTCGGCACTACGACGTACTATATCTGTTGCTCGGTGACCCGTATAGTAAGCTACAGAACCTGGATAAAAGAATTACAAAAACAATCATGTTGGTTGACCTGGGACTAATAATACAAATATAGATGTCCGACTTTAACATACAAATTGATGTTAAGAAAGTATGTTATCTCATATAGAAAGACAATGTTTTGCTGATTCAAACGTTTGTTTATATTTTTTACAACAGTGGCTAGAACACCTCCATCTATTACTAATGAGTTGTACTGGCTTAATGATGTTACATTGTTTGACCCAGCTGTTGTTAGTAGTTCAATGTCAGTTACATATAACTATAAATTCCTTATAAAATGTACGGCGTTTGATTACCATACGGTAATTGATGTATTTGTTTAATTACCAGTTCCCAGCAGTCCGAGTGACGTCACGGTAACTGACAGGACGACGACCAGTGTGACCCTGACTGTGGCCCCCGGTCCAGGGGGTTATGACGGGTACCGTGTCCAGAAGGTCGGTGGTGGTATCAATCGCTCCGACACATTTCCACACCACACATCGACTGGTCCTCTACTGGTCAGTGGTCTTACTCCAGGAACGACTTTCACCTTCACCGTCTTTACTCAGGCCAATGGATGGGAGAGTGAACATTTCTATAGAACTCAGGATTCAACAAGTAAGTGACGAGGAATTTGTTAGTGATTTGATAACATTAGTAGATTTCTTGAAGGGATATGTTAGGCATTTTTGTATATATTAAAACAACTAATTCCCCTTTAAGGACTTCGCAATACACATATTTATCTTGTAATTGTTGTCTTATTTATGAGATCGTTGCTTTATAAGTTGATATTTTTAGTATTATCATATTTCATTCAATTTGGTACAAGGCTGATATTAATTCACTCATGAAAAAAGGACATGAATAAGCCAGTGATGAAATTCCCTTACAATTGCCATTTAATTGAAAGGTGACAAAGTAAAACGCTCAACAGTTAACCAAGCCGCGAACGAAACAACAGAGGGTAAGAGACAGCTTAATCAGAGCTGAGTAGAGTAGACCTTTAGGCCAGACTTTGCTATTAAATGTGATGTGTGTGATAGTAGTTGGGCAATTTTTCCATTCAAACAGAAACTGTTGCTGATTACAGTAAGCTTATGTAGCTCGTGCTTTATTTCTACTCTTTAAGCATGTGACTTTAGTTATCACATCATCTTTTATTGTAATAAAACAATATTCAGTGTAAACGCTTCCAGGAACCTATTTATATAATTTTGCCAAATAAGAAGACCTGAAACTCAGGGATATTATGTTGTTATCAATGGTTACGATGCGTTTGATAACGTTTGTTTACAAATACCACAAGTGAACCAGTTTGTTTATTTTAAAGTTGTCATAAGTAATAAAAATTTAATTTGCACGTCGAATATTGAGCCATCTTTTTAGTAACTTCTTCAAGTATTAGTTTCTTGCATTAAGGAAATACAAATAACGGACCTAGCCAATAAAATTTAATACGGCAGTTCTGCTGTTTCTTTATTGATTTCACTTACATCAAAAACAAATTTATGTTATTTAACTTCAGACTGATGCGTTAAATCAATTTTTGTTTTCCAAATCTATTAATTTTCGTTTGACAAATTAG